CTGTACATAACAGTCAAACAAAGCATCAGGAAGCAGCACTGGAGTTGTCAACGTGAAGTTGGGCTTGCTGAAGTACACAAATACCAAAAACTACACCAAATAACTGCTTTCAAGATTTCTACGTACAGTATTTCACTAAATAAATTATATTAGTTATCTTCACTTTCACAACAAAGTCCAAGAAATGCGCACACAGCTTATAAATGTCCAGGGAGTCAGTGGTTACAGAGGGCCATTCAACTGGACAATCAAGATTAACAACTGATATTAGCAAACACCCACCCAGCTTAAGTGTCCTTGAGCGAGGCATTGAATCTGAACCAGGCGCGCTCACCAGTGAGCAGATATCCATTTTGTTACTGGCTATGACCTCTGACCCTCCTGGATGAGAGCAAAATGAACATTACACACTCAAAACTAAGCCTGTTGGACAAAGACAAAAACAGATTTCTGAAGTTTGTGTTTTACTGAGTGAAAATCTGATCACAGTAACTACAAGACCTTTGCACTATGGCTACTTTCACTCAAAGAACAGAGCCAAACAAATGTCTTGTCAGCCGTTTGAGCTCTCAAGAAGAATATTTAACCAAATTATATCATCATCTTTATACAGTATTAGGTCAATCACACTATGAAACTAGTTACTTGTGGCAAATATGGCACACAAAGACTATCTACAGCAGCATTGCAAGCCTGCATGTGCCTGATGTGTTTCTCCTCTGTAGCCAATGCTGACTAGGGCTGGACGATATATTAAAAAAATAAAATCATCATATCACTTGAGGCCAAACAGCGGATCACTCAGAAAATCTGAGGTAGAACATTCAAAATAATTATGATAAATTCAACAAATATTCATCAGTAAAATTAGGGAAAAGCTTTTTTTCAGTCCTTTTTCCTCAACAAAATAAAACCTCTTTATAAAAAAATTAAGTCCTAATTCATTTATGATTCAAGTGAATAAGTCAAACATGTATTGAATATATTATAACATTTGTTATTGAAAAATTATATTACGATAATTATTGTTATTGTTTTACTGTCCAGCCCTAACACTGACAGTTAGCCCTGTAGAGACAGGATGATTTGGGCTAACAATGACTTAAAAAAATGTATCTTAACTCTGTAACATGTCTTTGTTTTGGCAGTAACAACACTTCCAATATGGATATCATGAAAATAATGAAACAATAAACACAAGTAGTAATCATTTTTGCTTTTATTTGACTGTATATCAATTAAGAGAAAGGGATTGAGTAAATTAAGTAATAGTGTCTGAAGTTCTCACATTACTATATTTATATCTCTCTCTCAATTCAAATTAGCTTTATTGGCATGAATGTGTAACAATATTGCCAAAGCATCATACAAACTACATAAGATCAACCCATTCATTAAACAATTAAAGCATAAAGTAATTAAAGCGTATGTGTTAAATATATATATTAAAATTAGATAGATACACACAGTATATACATATGGCTCTCTTTATATAAATAATTTATTTAAAAATATATTTAAAGACACTTACCTGATGCAGCGATGATGGTCAGAAGAACTTTTTCCATCCTTGTCTGTTCCCCGTTTCCCTCTGTTAGTCTGTGACTGGCGATATGCAGCTGGTGAAATGACTCGTTGTACACTAACCTCTTGACAGTAATTTAAACTTCAAGCAAAGTCATTATGGGATGAGTCATTTGCCTGTCAGGCTCTTCAGTATCTCTGGGTGTCTGTAAATAATATTCAGATATAGACCAGCTCTATATGACAAGGGCCATCAGAAAACTTCTATTATAGCTAAATAAAGAAAACTGAAAAACTGAATATTGTTTGCTGTACAATTTTAAGGTATTTCAACTTTCTGCTGCTTTATACTTCTACACAACTTTTTAGAGGAAAATATTTTACTTTTGGTAATTTAAGTATGTTTGAGGCTAATGCACTTTTAACATTTCCTCTGTCCAGTACCTTGGTTTATGACATGCTAATATGCTAAACTAGGAAGGTGTCACGGTTGGTGCAGTAGTTAAAAGGTTGGTGGACCCAAATGAGGACTCAAAGCAGAGCAGGTACAGTTCAGAGGTTTATTAAGAAACACACTTACAAGGCAGAGTGGCTGAGCTGAGGCTTTCCAAATTAAACAAAGTGATCCAACTGAACAGGTAATCTAACAGAAATCCAACATCCAGAGAAACAAATAGGGCGAACAAACAGGCTGAGAACATCCACATGAGACAGAGCATTATAAGCTACAATGACCGGACGGCGACTGAACAGACACGCCAAATATATATTCACCAGGGACTAATGAGACAGGCAGACAGAGGAATTACTGGGGGAACAGACGTAACACAGGTTACTGAACACAAGGCACTGGTAACTGACACAAGACAGAGCAGACTAAAAACTAATCATACAGATAGACTACAAACGTAACAGGGAAAACAGACTGAACAGAACACAGAGCAGCAAAACAACCACAAACACTGAAGTACACAGACCAGGAGTAAACACTAAGACACAGAACTAGGAACTAAGACATGGAACTAACACAGACTAAATAACAGATACCAAACTGACCAATAAATAAACTCACTAAACTCAACAGAACAGAAGACAGGATTAAGATGCAGATACAAAACCAACCAAATAAGAATCAAAATACAGCACATAGAGAAACTCAGGACAGGATCGTGACAGAAGGTGAACATGGTAAATATTAACTGCTAAAGACCTGCGTTAAGCATTGTCACTGTCAGCGCCACTTTGCCTAAACACAGTCTCACAGAGCTGCCGCCATGGCGTTAGACTTAATTTAGTTATCCTACATTGACTGAGCACAGGGTTACCACCTGCCTCGCTGCCCAAACAAATCTCAAGCCAAACAATAGAAAGCCACAAAGTCGTGTGGCTTTAACAGCTATGAAGGTTTTAGACGTCAGTTCTCAGGTGTTCTGTTTGTTGCCCGCAGCTGTTTGTATGACATGTTCTTTACTTTGTCTATGAAACAGCCATCAGATAGCTGCAGGATAAAGATGCATGTCTCCAAATAGATAGACGCAACTGTGCTTTGACTAACAATTTAATAATAATATCTTATAATATCCATTAAAATTTTTTGAAATGGAGCAGCCAAGTAAAAGTTCAAACTTTTGTTTCCTTAACAGAATCAAAATATTTTTTCGGTTTCACAACAGGAATTAAATTCAGTAGTGGTCAAAACAATACTGAAAGTACTAATACTGTCACAATTTGTGGTGAAGGCGGGGTTGAGCAGGTTTGGAGGACCCAAACGCAGGACACCAAGCCTAGCAGGTGCAGTTCAGTGATTTATTTAAGGCAACAAAAGGCGAGCACACTTACAGACTGAGTGGCTGATTAACAGAGTCAGAAAAAACAAAGGTTGTCCGACAGAAATCCAAATCCAAAATGAGCAGAGAAACAGGGGGACACGACGAGTGCGGCAAACCACAAGGTAACATACTGCAGCACTGGGTGACAACGAACAATAACCCAACAAAGACAAGACAGAAACACCAGGTATATATACACAGGGACTAACGAGCAGGGCGGGAGCATCACAGGTGAGGAACATGAGGCTAACGAGACACTAGGCACTAGACAGGACAGACCCCAAAACTCAACATACTATAAGACAGATAATAAACTAAACTCAAAAGTGCAAAACAAGGTATGGCTGACAGGCAGAGTGTGACAAATACCACCCTGTGAAAATACTCCACTATAAGCAGGGTTGAGTAAATGTATGTAAGTATTATTAGTATCAAAGTAAAAATATTCATAGTGGCAGAAATTTCTCAGTCTATAAAGGAAAGTTTAACAAAAATTCCCGTTCATAATTATCCAATATGGAGATACGTGTTTTCAGTGGACAGGAAGGGTATGAAATACTCAGAAGTAACTACTATCCTTTCTCTTGTGTCGCTGTAAACTTTGCTTCCCGTCTGCCTTGATTGTTAAAGCGTGTCACCCCTCTTGTGTATATAAGTCTTTGTCTCCCACTTGTTTGGTGTTAAGTTTGTGTTTCGTCTATGTCGAGCATTCAGCCCCGTTCCTTGTGGTTCTCGGTGTTTTTGGAGTCTCTACCTTTTGGATTGCGTATTTGGATTTTGGATTATTGCCTATGAAGTTCTGGACTTGTTTACCTTTTTGTCTGGACTTATGTTGCTTTGTTTTGGACTGCCTGCCTCACCTTCATTTGTATACTGCATCTACTCTGCGCCTGGGTCCAAATCTTGTTTCCTGCGTCACTGCTTGAGCCGAACATGACAGAACAACCTGACCAGAACCAGCAGACAGAAACATTGTATAAACTCTCCAACCCATCCTGTTCCTCCTGAGGCAGTCACTCCAGCCTCCCTTGTAGCCAAGCCTCAGCCCCAGGTTCCCAGCTATTACTACTCCCTACTAGCCACCAGCCTTCAGCTAGCCACCATAATTCAACCCGGCTTGCTAGCAAACAGCCTGAGACTCTTGGACGTCCAGCTCTGCTCCAGTGCTGCGGACATCTCGCTGCTCGGCATGATGGAGCTTCCTAGGCCCCCAGACACTTTTTTGACCTGCTTCACTGAGACTCAGCTGGCCAACGCCCCAGAAACATTTCTGGCTAGCTACCCAGCGATTCAGCTGCCCTGTTACATAGCTTATTTGCAGCACATAAACATTGCTGACCAGGTCTGAGATTAAGCAACCAAGCACTCCAGAGATTCTACTGTCCAGTTGGTGGGCCGGCCAACTCCTTTTATTTTATCTAAACATATCTCAAAGTGTCTTATCTAGAAATTGTAAGTGGAGGTCCATTACTCCCCGTGGCCTCCAGAATCAGATTCAAGTCACTAATGCTGCTACTGGTGACTACTGGGTCTGCACCCATCTACCTAAACTCCATAATACAAACTTACGTTCCTTCTCGGCCGCTACGCTCCTCCAACGAACGCTGCCTGGCTCTGCCATCCCTTCACACAAAACAATCCCAGTCCCGGCTGTTCTCATCTGTGACACCGCGATGGTGGAATGAGCTACCACACGCCATCAGAGCAGGGGCGTCCCTCTCTGACTTCAAGGAGCTCTTGAAAACAGTTAGCCTGTATTGATTGCACTTTTTTGTTAAGTCTTACTTCTTTCCATAGGTATTTACCCCATTGATGCGATATGTGCTATTACCTCTTACTAGTATTTATTGCTGCTCTTACTAGTATGTATTGTCAGTTGTAGATCTCGTGCTGTACATGATGTTAATGCTTGTAAGTTGTTCCTCATATATAAGTCGCTTTGGAAAATGTCTGTTAGAATTTCCCACAGCTGCAATTAAATTTTAAAGGTCTTGTTTTATTAAACCAACAGTCTAAAACCCAAACATATTAACTTTATGATCATATATGACAAATAAAAGCATCAAATCCTCACATTTGAAAATCTGTAAAAAGCGAATATTTGGCATTTCTGCTTGGAAAAATTACTAAAAGGATTAATTTATTATCAAAACAGTTGTGACAGTTGCTACAGCTCTATTCTGACTTGGGATGCAACGATAAAAGATTTTGTTGGTACGATTATAGTCAGAGGTATAATCACGGTTTCACGATATCTGTGAGCAAGTTCCCTTTATAAATGACAATCAACTTGAAATGTGGCACATGTGAGGGAGCGCCGTGTCCGACCCTACAAACGCCCATAGTTGCCTATAAATGGTCAGTGAAACGCCCCTCGTTAATATTAACCCGTCCTGACTGCAGGAAGAAAAGGAGGTAAATTCTGACAGAGAAGCCAAAAACACTGACGTTCACTTTTGGTGAAGCTGAAGCTGTTTGTTGGTTAAAAAACACACTTTGGTGCAACGCTTATGCACGCTTTGAAGCACGGTTAATAGTGAAATCACTGCATCCCTAATTCTGACCCATTAACAGGAGGACTTTGAAAATAGAAATATATTTTCCCTCATGAAAATAAACACAGCAGTTAAACATTAAAGCTCATCTTCTCTCTCCTTTGTCTCCTTCTGGTCCTCGTGGAAGACCTTTCCATCCGACTGCTTCTTCCAGCTCAGTTTGACGTCTTCATTCACCCCCTGGTCCTTCAGCTTCTGTTGGAGCTGAGATACAAAACAATTTACTTTCCTGAAAAATCACTCAGTCTTCACTCAATGCTTCTGATCTGGAAGCTTCGTTCACACTTTTATTGTTATATCTTTTTATCTAGATGTTTTCAATACATGTTTACAATGTAACACAATAACATTGTTCTTAGCAGTTGTAATTAGAAAGTTGTACCTGCTTCAAGACGTCCTCCATCACAGCAGGGTCATTCAGATCCACAGAGGAGCTTTTCTTCTTCAGACTCACTTTCATCACTTGCTTTGAAGCAGGCACGGCTTTGAAAAACAAACATTAACCAAATATAAAGAATAACAACCAGACACTGTTCCAAATTTTAACACTTTTAATAATGAAAGAGGAAAAAAGGTGGCAGCTCTGTCCTTATTAGTTTAATTTAATCTGTTCTATGCTGCAAGAAAACCTTAGCTTAGTTTAGCTTAGCTTAGCTTAGCAAGGACCTCTACTGCCAGCACAGTAACAACACAAACATCTGCCAGCCTGTCCTCACCAGGAAAACGTCCAAATAGGTTGATTTAACGGCCCATATTTCTGTTTTTTGATAGGCAGAAGTCAGGTGACCTAGAATAAACAGCGTCAAAGTCGATGGAAAGAGGTTGTGGGGTGGATGGATGAGTAAGTAAACTGGTCTGAGACAACAACCATTATTTTGAATCACAATGTATCAATAATGTGTTCTTCATTATAACTGGTACGTACTATTACTTACATTAAACAAGATAAACAGACTTAAATGAACACACTTTCTTAATGAACTACGCCGCGCATTGCATGACTGACAGGATGGCTGCGCTTCTCCACCATCAGCCACTGTCGTGCGCACAAGTTTCTACCGAACAGGTTGAGTTCACGACCCGCGAAAATAAAGTCGGATGTATTGTAGCCTACTGTATTACTCTGTATTGACTGCAGCTTATATGCTTATTATTATTGGCTTTTTTGTGCATCCTCCAATTAGTACTACAAATGATAATATGCTTGCTACTGTGTGCCGGCGACAAGCAGTGCGTAAAATGGTCTTTGATGGCATTTTTCAGGCGATTGAAACTTAACGGATTGCCAGTGTGAGGAGTTCTACACCCTGTTGCAACATCACAGTCCCCCCCTATATACTTAAAATAGCATTGTATAAATAGTAAAAGAATACAAACAGGGCATTTAAAGTGTGTTTTAAGTTTAACATTTTGAGTCCCCCCTCTCTCGCCTCACAGTGGTTTGGTCCACTGCCTGCTTTCACAGCAGTCCAGTGGCTGAAAACCAGTTCTGATCCTTCAGTAGTTGTGGAGCTCCAGTAATGTTAAGCAGGCTGCAGAGCTGTTTTAAGCACTTTCAACATTGGATGAACTGATTCTTTTGTCTTTAATAGATAAGATTACTGTAGTTTGTGATTAAACACGCAAAGAAATTAAAATGGTGTGCAATTTATTTTCAGCTCCTTCCAGTGAAAATGTTATTTTATAATTAATGTTTCATTATGAAACAATTGAGACCAGTGAGAACAGCCAACATTTATACTGGTGCTGACGGGGATCCTAGTAAAAACTGATTTTTCCAATAAATACTGTAGATCTACCGTGTTGGGTTTTGCGCATTATGGCAGATCAGTTGGCCTGCTGCCGTTTATATATATATATATATATATATATATATATATATATATATATATATATATATATATATATATATATATATATGTGTATATATATATATATATATGTGTATATATATATATATATATATATGTGTATATATATATATATATGTGTGTGTATATATATATATATATATACACACACACATATATATATATATATATATATATATATATATATATATATATATATATATATATATATATATATATATATATATATATATATATGTATATATATATATATATATATATATATATATATATATATATATATATATATATATATATATATATATATACATATATATATATATATATATATATATATATGTGTGTATATATATATATGTGTATATATATATATGTGTATATATGTGTATATACATATATATACACATATATATATATATATATATATATATATATATGTGTATATATATATATATATATATATTACATTATAGATGTTATAATGTATTTTCTACCCACAACTTGATATTTATGGATGCTTTTTTCTGCTCATTTGTTGTTATTCTTAACCTAAATCCAATGAGTGATAGCTTACCACTGTAGCAAATGGATGCTCTCTTGAAGTCACAGTTGAAGTCCTCCCATTTCCCAAAGTAGTTAAACGCTGCTGCCACACAAGCCTCCTTCTTATGGTTGTTATTAGGTTCCTTTGTTCCCTGGTTCCAGAGTCTGAATGAGGAGTTACTTCCATCCGACCACTTCCAGGAGTCTCTAAAGAGGCCGATCCAGACTTCTCCTCCGGCAGGTACCAGCTCCTTTACCTTCTGGTTCTCTGCCATGTTTCTCACGCTGGCCAGGTCAGTGAAGTGTTCTCTGCAGTAGCTCTGGGCCTCGGTCCAGGTCATGGAGTTGTCAGAGAGGACAAACGTCACTGTCGGCCCTGAAAATAAACCACAGTGAAGTACCAGAACATACACCCATATTCTAGGACTGAAGATGGCACCGCAGATGGTGGCAGCCTCTGGATTACGCTCCGTACCTACATCACACCTGCATCCTTTGCACTGTGCTCCATCACACTGTGCACATGTATGTGCACCTGTATCACATCCACCTCCGAGACATGTACATAATAATAATAATAATAATAATAATAATCCACTGAGATATATAGAAACAACATCAATAAACTAAAATAAATGTGTTATTATCATCATAATAGAAGTTTTTGAGTAATTCTTTGTGTGTCATTCAAATCTACCTTAAACAGATGCAAACATTATATTTAGGTTTTTCTACATATGAATATTTTTCTATTAAACTCATACAGACCTGTTTGATTTGTCTTAATGAATCCCAGCACGAAGGTTTTGTCCATTTCTCCCTTTTATATTTTTTTTACACTATCTCTATATGAATATTAATACAGAAAAATACTCGGTATTAATTCTGGTGTAAACTGTTTACATATACTAGACTCGCTAAATTGCCGCTACTTATGCCACCACCGTCATTCACTTAATGATTTTGTCTTTTCCATACTTTACTTCTAGTCTTATTTAAGTTTTAGCCTATACAGTACTTCCTATTATTTATTTTTTGCTTTTCAGTATTTATATTAAATTAAAATGTCATTCTCGAGGAGCCAACAGGCAAGAACCTCTGTGTCGTTTTGACTCAGATTGAAACCTGTGAGGCTTTTTGATCACGCACAGAGAGGCTGATTTATTTAAGACCAGAAGAAGGCCTTACACTGGATGCCTGTCCGTTTTCATAATGCGTGCATGCCTGCTTGTCTGTCACAATAGCAATGTATGAAATGATCCTTCAGTTGTCCCAAAGAAGAGGCGGCTTTTAGTTTTTATGCTCGGAGCCGTTGGAACAGTCCGTCTGAGGAAGTGTTGATATCTTTAACTATAAACTTCCTCCATAGCTTGGCTAATGATTTAAATATTTAAACGCAATCATTTATTTTATTGAATCTTTTTTTAAATTTAATTCATGTGTAATAAGTTATTTAAAAAAAAAAAATCAATTTTACAGTTTTTTCATATATATTTCTTTTTTCTTTTTAATCACCTTTATATTATTTCTATTTCTCGCTAAATTGCACTAACCTGCATGAAAGTGCTACAACACTTGACTGACTGACGCTACACAGGCCTGAATAATGAAAGAAAAGAAGTTTTGTTTTAGTTTATTCTGACCTCTGACATCAATGCAGACTGCCTTCAAAGGGTTTGTACATTTGTAGTCATTCCATCGCCCAGTATCATACATCTGTGCACAGAGTTCTCCACTGTCTTGGTTGTTGGGCTCTTTTGGGGCCCATTGTCTGAACTCCGTCTCCCCGTCCTTGTAGAAACGTCTGTCTGACAGTGACCACCTCCAGCTGTGCAGATCATCGTACAGCCCAATCCAGGCTCTCTGAAAGATATTATTCACTTGTGTTACTTCAGCCTCTCTAGTAATAAAAAGCTTGGTACTTCCAGCTAAATCATGCTTCCACTTGAATGCATCAATAATAATAATTATATTACATACACGTAGATAAAAATTCTCTGACCAGGTGTATTATGCGTTTATGTACTGTACATTTAAAGTGTCTGAAATAAAAGAGAGCGACATGTGAACTCACATGGCTGTATTCTTTGTACTTCATTTTGCTCAGATCTGCCATTTCGTTCAGAGTCTTCACATCCTCCATGTCGTCTACAGTGGCCAGGTCGGTGTATTTTTCTCTGCAGTAGCTCTGCGCTTCAGTCATGTTCTTCAGCTCATAAACAAAATGGTACTGACGTTGAACATGTGATGAGACGGCGCACAGACCTGTGGAGACGCACATGCACATAAAACACATCTCGTCTCTGTAGCAGGTCTTTGTTTTGGCAGTAAAAGCACTTCCTTTATGGATTTTATGAAAATAATGACACACAAAAACATATGAAAAAGATGTTTTTTGAATTTAGCTCGACTGTGAGTCAATTAAGAGAAAGTTAAAGTTCTCACAGTGCTGTCACAAGGAAACCACAACACATAATATAAAAAAGTGGGAATTTAATAACTAATTAAATATAAATATAAAACACTTACCTGATGCAGCGATGATGCTCAGAAGAACTTTTTCCATCCTTGTCTGTTCCCTGTTTCCCTCTTTTAGTCTGACCGTAAATATGCAGCTGGTGAAATGACTCGTTACGTTATATATTAACCTCCTAACAGTCATTTTGACTTCATGCAAAGTCATTATCAATTGCTCTGCAGTATGTCTGGGTCTCTGTAAATAATATTATGAAGAGAACAGTGTAGACCGGCTCTATGTGAAAAGGGTATTGAGATAACTTCGGTTATGAACCGGGCGCTGCATAAATAGATTAACTTGAATACTGTCTGCTGATGGCCATTAGATGAAGATTACTCTTTTTCATATTTAGGCTGATGGTTCAAACATGGTGGGGGTTCATTACTGACCACAGCCACATTAAAAGCCAATAAAAATCTGTGACGAATGATCATTATTCTGTATATTTAACCAGGCTGGACAGAGAGCGCAGAGACCACACAGGAGATGGAACCACCAACGTGTTGCATCCACCTGGGTGATGCACGGCAGCCTTTTAGCGCCAGAACGCTGACCACACATCAGCTTGAGGCAGAGAGGGAGGGAAACATTGAGCCAGTTACTGTGAGGGATGATTAGATGGCCAGATGGAGAAAGCCAGGTTGGGAAGTTTGGACCCTCTACTCTTTGCGACAAATGTCACGGGATCTTTAATGACGACAATGAGTCAGAAACTCTTTTAACGTCTCATCCGAGGGATGAACTTTACTTACCTACATCAATTCTTACTGTATTTCTCTTTTCTGCTACTTTATACTCCTATTCCACAACATGTCAGAGGCATAACCCTAACCCAAATATTACTTTTAACTCCATTACATTATTTGATAACTTTAGTTATTTTGCAGATGCTGATTAATAACACAAAATATTATCAACTAATAAATGATGATGTAATATTACAGGTTAAGATAAGGCTTTATTGATCCAGGGGTGAAATTCACTGCTAGCCAATAAAGTAATTAAAATCAGCTCCACCTTCACCAACAGCAACATTAAAGTCATGAAAACACTGAAGCACCTGAAATGGGCCATTCTGCATAATGAGTACTTTTACTTTTAGTACTTGAAGTACACATATTGCTGCTGATACTTTTACTGTAACATTTTGAATGCAGGACTGAGAATTTGTACTGTATGTTGTGGTAATGCTACTTTTAAATAAATAGTACTCCTTCCACTTCTGCCCATTTCTTTGGATTATGACCAAATACTTGCTAAACTAAATGGCGTTCCCGTCAGCCTCAGCTTTACTCTGTGTTTTGTTCTATGTAGCAAATGTTAGCTTGTGCTAAACATCAGCATGGTAGCACAGTGACATTATGGCATTCATTTCAAAGCATCACTTTGCCTAAACACAGTCTCACAGAGCTGCTAGCACGGCGGTAGACTAAATTTGGTTATCCTACTGAGCACGGGGTCACCTCCTCTTACGCTGCCCAAACAAATCTCCCACCAAACAAACAGAAAGGCACAAAGGCGTGCGGCTTTAACAGCTACGTAGGTTTTACACAGACATCAGTACTCAGTCGTTCTGTTTGTATGAAGTTTTCTTTACTTTGTCTGTTAAACAGCCATCAAACAGCTGCTGGATCAAAATGTGTGTCTCCAAATTTGGTGCAAATCTTTACACCTGATGCGCAGGATAACTTTAACTATTCTATAACAATATAATAATAATATTATATGATATCCATGTAATTGTTTGGAATGAAGCAGCCAAGTCAGTCCAAACTTTATTTCCCCGACAGAATCTAAGTAAAGTTTAAAATTTTGCTGCATACGGGTTGTAAAAAGTATCGTCTCACATTACTTGACACTATGGCATCACTCACTGCTGGCATGGAAACGCATCCATTAACAAAACGCTCCTCAACTACAATCATTAAAGTAGAAAAAATAATTTTGCATAAGGTGTGTCACATGGGCAGAGAGTTGGCTACTACAGAGCCAACCACACTAAGACATCTCCACACCTGCAACACCATGTCAACCACATCTACCTTTAGATGTTAAGCTAAACTGCCTTGTTGTTTCAATTCTGCGTACTTTTTAGAAAACAATGTCAAAAATCTGACTCAGCAGTTTGTCATATTTACAGGGAGGGAAATGAAAACTTGGAAGAAGAAGAAACTGTGTCAGTAGTTTTGTTAAAGTTTCTGATTTTAAAGTTTTTGTGTCCTTTTTTAAATCAGTATCTTATTTTGTTTTCTCTTTGCACATTTGTTTCTTCTATATTTAAATTGCACTGCACTGTTTTTTGTTGTGCAAATAAACCTTAATTTGTTTTTGGACAGAATATGTGATTGATACAAAGAATTTTATGCCTTTATTCGATTACTGTAATTGTGATGTAAATGTGATTCTTTTTTAAAGCTGCCCCAAGTTTTTACTGTCGTGGAAACTGACTCTTGCTGGTGAGGCATTCAGCATATAATTAGAGAAACAACAAACCGTTGCCTTTGAAGAATTTATTAATAAAAGAGAACAAACAGAGAAGTACTAAAGCACAAATACAGCTGGTCCAGAGACCTCAGGCATCTGGCCCCCTGAGCAAAGGGATGCATCATTTACACAGTCTAGCTTTCTATGTGTTGGGGAACAGAGATCCTCTCTCAGCCTTGAATGAACTTTCAAGGTTGAGAGAGAAACAGCAAGTAAGGAAAACACCAAAACAACCTCACAGCTCTGACCTGAACCCTACATGTGTGGACAGACTAATATAATGAGTATAATGATAAAGAAAAAGTTAATAATGAGAGAAAAGGTAAAGGATGAAAAACAATATATATGTATAACATAAACAGGAATGATAATAAAAGAACATGCATAAAAGATTAATTTAAATGAATAAGAAACAACATTTCCTTAAGACACTTGAGTTACTTAAAGTGTATTTTTAATTAAATCCCCTTAATTTATTTATTTAATGTTAGCTTTATTTAACATTACTAAAGTTGCCTGTTTGTTATTTGAAGATGTCAATAAAGTTTTTTTTTTAAATGTAACGTTATTAACAGTCTGTTAATTGCAGCTCTACCTACAACTTGAAAACCGTCATAAAAGAAATAAAAAGCGTTGACAAGACTTCTTAAGTACCAAAACAGCAGTTACTTAATGTTTATTTTGTCTTTTAATCAGTCAGCTAATACTGAGTTCAGTGCGGTTTTCTTCCACACAGTCCACGGTGGTTTATCAAGAGTTTATTCACATTCGCTTAACGTTGCTAAAAAAAAACCCGAATTGTTCTTGAACGCACCTCACGGTAAACGCGCTCGTCAGCGTAGCGGGCGACGCATGCGCACGCCGTTCACTTCCTGACAGCTGGGACAACAACAGAGTGAATCCACCTGCGCTCCCGTGTTTATCTCGTGTTTATCCCGTGTTTATCCCGTGTTTATCCCGTGTTCACCTCGGTTGTTTGTGTTCACCGTGTCCGAGTCCCGCCCGGTGTCTCTCTCCCGGGTGTCCTCGTGCCTCCCTCTCTTCATGCGGGCTCAGGTGTGCGTGGCGCTGTTTGTTTGGCTGCTGAACGATGCGGCGACTCATCAGTTCACCGAGGAGGAGATGGCTGCTGTCAGGTAACGCACCTGTGTTCAGACAGCGAGCTGGGATTTTAGACAGGAAATCTTAATTAATTAACGGGACAGTTTCTTAGCCTGTAGTGTTTTCACATATTTAGATTTAGATTAATTTACGTGTGAAATTCCCTGAAATTAATGTCATAAAATAAAAACGAAAATCACTCTTTCACTTTTCTGAATACGCCCGATCCACAGCAAAGTCTCTGAGGTGCATGATAGTGATTGTGGGCTAAACTCAGCAGTATTTCCTCACTGCTAAATCTGATTGCAAAGTTTAACATAACTTTCCAGTTCATGCATTAATACCCGGCAGACGCGTGTTTGTGAAGCTTCTCTCATGAATGTGTGACTATAATGTCAGAATGTTCAAGTTTTTTACTTGTAGATTAATCCTGGAAATTAAATTCTGTCTCAGATTATTCCCCCTCTCTGCTGGCTCCTTTCTTTTCTATTACAATGGACCTTATGTGCAGTTGTACCTTTACATCTTAATCATATTACACATAAAAGAAGAGATTTGATCTACAATAAGAACACTGGGAAGATAAGTAGGCTGCAAATTTACTCCATGCGATGCCAACAAGCCTTTCTGGCTTTGTCGTCCGCCACAATATTAGATTTAACCATTAACTTGTCTTTACATTCATAATTTCCTGACACTACCAATGTGCTTTCCTCTGGAGAAATACGGAGCAACTCCAAATAAGTTAACATGGACTCAACTAACCAACATCTGATCCACCTTCATAGTACCGTTTAACTCCAGGCAGTAAGTTTGCCTGATAACCTCGAGTTAGTAGGTTGAACTCCCTTCATAGTACAGGCCACAGAAACTGGACAGGAGAATTATTCAGGTCTTTTACTTCAGTAAAAGTACTAAAATCACACTGGGAAAATACTCCACTAGAAGTAAAAGTCATGCATTCTAAACATTAAAGTAAAAGTATGCAAGTACTATCGGCTAAATATAGGCTACTTAAAGTATCAAAGTAGAAGTACTCTCAGTACAGTAAAATGTTTCTCTCTGATGTTTCTGGATTAATAATCCTGCTCTGTTTGCATTGTTTGGTCCATAAAATGTCCTCAAATGGTGAAAAATGTGTCCAAAAGTGACGTCCTCAAATGTCTTGTTCTGTCCACAACCCAAATATATTCATTTTACTGTCACAGAGGAAGAAAATGTTCACATTTAAGAAGCTGGACTAAGAGAATTTGGAATTTTCCAAATAGTTGCTGATTAATTTAATAATTGACAAATAAATGGATTAATCCTTGCAGCTCTAGTGGGAAGCATCCTGTTCGTGGTTTTGTGACTGACATCGGGCTGAGGCGCCAATTAACCTTGCCTGCATGTCTTTGGATGCCTACGAGCGAGAAGGTCGTGGGTTCGAGCCCTGGTCGTCCCAGGCCTTTCTTTGTGGAGTCTTCATTATCTCCCCGTGTCTGCGTGGCTTCTCTCCGT